GGAATTCCATCACCTCCACTAGCTTTGTTCATAGTGATGCTTCCTAAGGCCCACTTGACTTCACATTCCAGGATGTCTGGCTCTAGGTGAGTGATCATACCATCATGATTATCTGGGTTGTGAAGACCTTTTTTGTACAGTTCTTCTGTGTATTCTTGCCACATCTTCTTAATATCTTCTGCTTCTGTTAGGTCCCTACTAGGTACACAGGATTAAATAAAGCAGAAATAAAGACAGTACCTGTCTTCAAGGGCTGACTCACTAATTGGTGACAAGGACAATAAATAATAAACAAAGTTCTAATTGCAAAACGTAACGTCATCCAGTTCAAGGAGGTGCTGTTTGCCCCTCCTCGTCTGTCACCCCTTCTTCTGGTCTTTTTTCGGGGAGAGGGCTTCCCCAGTGGCTCAACTGGTAGCCTGCCTGCCAGTGCAGGAGATGCAAGAGGCATGGATTCGACCCCTGAGTAGATTCCCTGGAGAAGGAAATGACAACCCGCTCCAGTAGTCTTGTCTGGAGAATCCCATGGACAGAGGAGCCTGGCGCGCTACAGCCCGTGGGCTTGCGAAAAGTTGGACACGACTGAGCGACTTCACTTTCACTTTCCACTTTCATGCATTGGAGAAGGAAATGGCAACCCACTCCAGTCTTCTTGCCTGGAGAATCCCAGGGACAGAGGAGCCTGGTGGGCTGCCATCTATGGGGTCGCCCAGAGTTGGACACGACTGAGGCGACTTAGCAGCAGCAGCGGCTATTTCTTGAACCTATTTCTATGCAATATTTTCCCTCAACTTAAAAGCAGATACAAGTTTCTCTCATTCTTTTAAACAAAGCCAATGACATCACCCCAGGATCTTGTGCCCCTTTCTAATGAATATTTTATTTTCTCCTTATCTTTTGCAGCCAAGTTCTGCAGTCTATTCCTACATCTATATGTCGTAAGACATATTGTACTCTTTGTTGATAAGGATGTCCCCAGCCACACAAAGACCTCCACCAACAGTGCTTCTACCACGTCCCATGGCCTCGAAGCCACCAGGCTCTCCCTGACCAAATCTACCATTCCTGGCCTTCTGCTGCAGTTGACTCTGTGGCCTACTCTCTCACATTCAAATTCTTTTCTTTCTTTCTTTCTTTTTTTTTTTTTCTGGCTTTGATGACCCTGTGCTCTTCTAACCTTGACTTTCTCATGTTGTCTAGGTGATTCTTTTTCTTTCCCCATTTCATTTCTCAGGAGTCTTTCAATGAGCCATCTCTCTGCTTCTCTACATACCTCCTGCCTAGAAGTCTGCATCTGTCCTTAGAGCTTCACTTCCTTTAACACATCTTCATTGTGCTGGTCCTTCCCCTGTGATGACACATACTCAGACCTTCCTCAAATAACTATTATGCTAGTCAAAACTGGTTCAGTGATGGTCTCTCCCAGAGGAGTTGTAAGTCTGCATCAGATGTCTTTTACCCCAAATGCTGTAACATTTCAGGCATTCCCTAGTCTCTTTAACCCTAAAAACCAGCAACAAACACACTCTTTTGACCTTATACCTCCTTCCACCTACAGTCCCATGACTTTGCTAAAGTGATCATACATGCGCCAGTTTCCCTGGTTTATGCCTGTTGTCCTGGTATTTTTGTACAAAGTAACTGAATTGCTAAATAATTGAATATAAAAACCATGCCAGCATAGCAGTAAATTCTTTCTCTCTTTACTGTCTGACATCAATTGTTTTGACTTAAACTCTCTGAAAGATGAAAACTGTATCTCTTTTATTCACTACTTTACCCCACTCACTGCAGGCAATTAATAAAGGTCCTTAGTGCATATGCCCTGAATGTGTTTGGAACACCTACTGTGTATATACAACTCTCTAAGCATATTATCTTATTTACTTCTCAGAATAATACCTCAATTTGTATACTACTGCCTCCATTAGGGGCTTCCCAGGTGGCACAATGGTAAAGAAACCTCCAGGCAATGCAAGAGATTCAGGAGACACAGGTTCGATTCCTGGGTTGGGAAGATCCCCTGGAGAGGGAATGGCTACTACTCCAATATTCTTGCCTGGGAAATCCCATGGACAGAGGAGCCTGGTGGGCCACAGTCCATGGGGTTGCAGAGCCGGACATGAATGAGCATGCGCTGGAGGAGCATGAGGAGGTCTCCATTATAAAAGTGAGGAAAGTGAAGCTAAGAACAGTTAAGAGATCACCAAATTAATAAGGAATGGAATCAGGATTTAAATTCAAGACTGTTTTCACATGCCAAGCCTGTTCCACTGACCTAGCCTTCTTAGCAATGAAAATTCCTGGGCAATATAAAAGTTAAAAGCTAAATTAATATGTTAAAGATATAGTATTTTAAAAATTACCCCCATTACTCAATTCCAAATGCTCAATATCCCACAAAGAGACTATTCTTCCTCTGTCTTAAAACACGGAGAAGTTTTCTCAATATCACTGATGAACATTCCTACTAAACCACATCTGTCATGCACACATCAGAAGACTGGGTGTGTCAGGTAGAAGAAGAATGTAACTTTTGGGAGAATGGAGTGATTATTAGCTCAGTGGTTGTCAAAGCTAAGTATGTAGAGTATCATGGGGTGTGATGGGGGATGCATCTAAAAGTGCAGTTTCCTGGGCTGTGCCCAGAGATACTTTGATTTAATGGGAACAGCTTGGCACCAAGAAATCTGTTTACTTAACAATCAATGGCATGCGCCCTACTGCAGGGAGTCCTCAAATCATCTTTCAGGAAACATGAGAGCAACTGAACTATTTATTACCAAGATAAAGTTATTGTTCTAACTCCTTTCATGAGAAAAACTTTTTAATTGTATACAATGTTGTTTTTGTTAAAAGACAATTCTCTAATACAGCACAAAATTAAACACCACAAAAAGAAATACAGTAAAAAGTAAGTCCCCTCCCCCTTTTCCCAAATCAGCACATGACCTTTTCAGGGCAACCACAACCACTGTTGCCCCCAGATAAAATTTTTTTTCCTTTGGTCTATCTATCAATAAGGTTGGAGACTATTGCAGTTCTGCAGTTAGGAGGGTCACATAGCTTAGGATGAAGTGATGCTAGTGGATGTGGTAATAAATGATAGGTTTAAGAATACAGGTCTTGTGAACCTAGAGTTTTATCAAAAAAGAAAGGGGGCGCAGCCAGAGAAGGCCAGAGATGCCAAAGTCAACCTCCAGCAGCTTCCCAGCTGTGCCAAAGGTTGGCCTTTGGTGGGGAGGCATAATTAGTGTGGTTAAAGGGATTTCATATCTTTGGGTGGAAATTCATCTAAGCATGCCAAATATCAATATTGTGTTTCATCTGAGCTTCTCTATTTAATTTCTCCTGCCACACCTTTCAAACTGTGGTGATGGGAACAATAACAAGCCTGTGTTATTTGGTTCCATCAGAGCTGTTTCTTCTATATCTCTTAAAAAATCATATTTCATTATCATACAAATTCAAATTTACTGCCTAATGTGAGTGGAAGAAGTAGTGTTAGATATTCACTTTTCTGGTTTCTCTTCATGATTGTCTTTTTCTTTTTAACCTCAAAAACACGCCTAAAATGACAAATCTCTGCTAAGTAGCTTGCAGTGCCTCACATTTTGATCTAACTCTCCACATTAAATTCCATAAGAGTTGCACGTGGAAATTGGAAATATTTTCATTAGAAGGGCCATCTTCATTTTACAAAGCAACTGAGATGAATCAGAAAAGGAAGAGATTATGTTGGTCTCTGTATCTGGGGTAATCCTTTTATTTATCAAAGGCAAGTGATGAATCAAGGCAGAAGGGGAGTGAGGCAAAGGATTAAGTCCCGATTACGCCTCTGGCTGGCTGCTGGCCTCATAAACCACTTGTACCCTGAGCCTTCCTCTTGTGTGAAATAGCAGTTGGATCAGATGAATACTAACAGACTAACCTGGATAAGTCTGTGTGATTGAATCATCTCCTTAAAGAAAAATTCAACACTAAACAGCAAAAATAGAAACACTGCCAATTCTTTTCTTCTATGAAAGTATCATTGATTAGCAATATTATTTGTGTTAATTTCTGCCATGTAGCAAGATGATACAGTTATACACATGTATGCATTCTTTTTATGTTGTTCTTTTCCATTACAGTTTATCCCAAGATACTGAATATAGTTCCCTGTGCTAAACGGTAAGACTTTGTTGTTTTCTTCATTCTATATGTAATAGTTTGCATCTACTAATCCCAATTCCCAGTTTTCCCTCTTCTTGATTGATTGTCTCTTCTAAGAGAGGGAAGTATTTTTTTCAAACCATCCAAAACCTATGTCTATCTGCCTTCCAGTTTAATGAGTGTTAATGAAACTACAGTTGACAGACCCAGTCAGAAAGGTCTGAGAACCTGCTTAATCTTTCCTTAATTCAAAATAATAGGCTGGGCTCTGCTGTTTGCTTTTTACGGCTCATACCTAATCTAGAGGAAAGGGGGTAGTGAAATAAGCAACTCTTTTGCTTTGGAAATTCTTTCCTGATAGCTGAATTGAGAGTAGAGAGCCTCAAGCCTCTTTTTAATTTTCTACTGGATTAGAATGAGCTAACAGATTATCAAGCAAGAAATGGACAAATACAGTATTTATGGAACAGCTGCAAAGGGACCAGAAATTGAAATAAGGCCCATGTATAGTGGTTAGTCACTAAGTCGTGTCTGACTCTTGTAACACCATGGACTGTAGCCTCCCAGGCTCCTCTGTCCATGGGGTTTCCCAGGCAAGAATACTGGAGTGGTAGCCATTTTCTTCTCCAGGAAATCTTCCCAATCCAGGGTTCAAACCCCAGTCTCCCACATAGCAGCCAGATTCCCTACGGACTGATCCACCAGAGAAGCTCCAAGACCCATAGGGAATTTCAAAGAAAAAGATACAGAATAGCCCAGCCTCACAGAATTTACACTTTATTTGCTAAGGGAAAACATTGACACATGCAAGCTCTGCAAAGAAAAGCTTATTTATACAATCTATGACAAATAAAAACATTCAGATGGAGGAAAGGAAATGATCATCATAAAGAGAATCTACATTGCAAGCTATATGGAAGGGCCATCTTCATTTTACAAAGCAACTGAGATGAATCAGAAAAGGAAGAGATTATGTTGGTCTCTGTATCTGGGGTAATCCTTTTATTTATCAAAGGCAAGTGATGAATCAAGGCAGAAGGGGAGTGAGGCAAAGGATTAAGTCCCGATTACGCCTCTGGCTGGCTGCTGGCCTCATAAACCACTTGTACCCTGAGCCTTCCTCTTGTGTGAAATAGCAGTTGGATCAGATGAATACTAACAGACTAACCTGGATAAGTCTGTGTGATTGAATCATCTCCTTAAAGAAAAATTCAACACTAAACAGCAAAAATAGAAACACTGCCAATTCTTTTCTTCTATGAAAGTATCATTGATTAGCAATATTATTTGTGTTAATTTCTGCCATGTAGCAAGATGATACAGTTATACACATGTATGCATTCTTTTTATGTTGTTCTTTTCCATTACAGTTTATCCCAAGATACTGAATATAGTTCCCTGTGCTAAACGGTAAGACTTTGTTGTTTTCTTCATTCTATATGATAGTTTGCATCTACTAATCCCAGTTCCCAGTTTTCCCTCTTCTTGATTGATTGTCTCTTCTAAGAGAGGGAAGTATTTTTTTCAAACCATCCAAAACCTATGTCTATCTGCCTTCCAGTTTAATGAGTGTTAATGAAACTACAGTTGACAGACCCAGTCAGAAAGGTCTGAGAACCTGCTTAATCTTTCCTTAATTCAAAACAATAGGCTGGGCTCTGCTGTTTGCTTTTTACGGCTCATACCTAATCAAGAGGAAAGGGGGTAGTGAAATAAGCAACTCTTTTGCTTTGGAAATTCTTTCCTGATAGCTGAATTGAGAGTAGAGAGCCTCAAGCCTCTTTTTAATTTTCTACTGGATTAGAATGAGCTAACAGATTATCAAGCAAGAAATGGACAAATACAGTATTTATGGAACAGCTGCAAAGGGACCAGAAATTGAAATAAGGCCCATGTATAGTGGTTAGTCACTAAGTCGTGTCTGACTCTTGTAACACCATGGACTGTAGCCTCCCAGGCTCCTCTGTCCCTGGGGTTTCCCAGGCAAGAATACTGGAGTGGTAGCCATTTTCTTCTCCAGGAAATCTTCCCAATCCAGGGTTCAAACCCCAGTCTCCCACATAGCAGCCAGATTCCCTACAGACTGATCCACCAGAGAAGCTCCAAGACCCATAGGGAATTTCAAAGAATAAGATACAGAATACCCCAGCCTCACAGAATTTACACTTTATTTGCTAAGGGAAAACATTGACACAGGCAAGCTCTGCAAAGAAAACCTTATTTATACAATCTATGACAAATAAAAACATTCAGATGGAGGAAAGGAAATGATCATCATAAAGAGAATCTACATTGCAAGCTATATGGTGAACTGAGATAAAAGATGCAAAAATTAGCAAAATCTCCAAATTGAATGCACTGACCAGCTCTTACCTCCAAGATCACACTGCTTGAAAGCTGGGTCAAGCACCCCTTGATAAGAAGACAGCATAATACTATTCAAGATTAAATTTCAGGGACAACTTAGAAAAACGTTTTAAAAATCTGATTTCCAGGTCCCATGGGGAGTCATCTTTTTAAAGAAGAATCCTCTAACATGTTTTGGAAATCTTTTGTAACTTCTAAAGAAATATTTTTTAATTGGGCTGGATAAGGCATAGCAATTCTTAATGGCAGTTTTACATCATGCTTGAAAATTAGTTAGGAAAATGGACAGTTCCTTTGGGCTTTGTCTTAGGGATTTCTTTTTTTCATAAACAAAACAGAAGTTTCTTATAATGGAAAACTAGTTCCAAGATATACAACTTTACAGAAATATGGGAAAGGAATTATTTTTCTCCAAAATGCTTTCCTTCTTTCTTCTTGTTCTAAATGGTTATTGCAGTGTTGGTTTTTTTTTTTTTTTTCTGATAGAACAATAGACGCTTATTTCCACAAAAGAAATGGTGTAAGCAATCAAAAAAACATTTCCCTAATGGAAGACAGATAAAAGAGAAAGAGAGAGAGAGAGAAAGAGAGAAAGAGAGAACCCACTCTAACAAAAACAAAGGAAATCTCCAGCACTGTGGTTCATATTCAAATGAAAAAAAATAAAATGAGCTTTTAACATAATGCGTTTACTGTTTCGTGTACCATCCCCATTTTCACTTTTCAAAACATGTGCCATACAACTCAGCGGTATGGGAGGATGCGTGAGGAAGATCAGAGAACAAGTACTTTTTGGCATCCCAGCAAACTGAGCCACAGGCATAGAAGATTACAAAATAAAAAGTTGTCTCTCAAGTGGAAAGGTGTGTCTATCTGTCCCTTGAATACCAAGACTTCTGTTTGAGTTTCATTTTCAACTGGATGGTCAGAACGTTTCATTGCAGATTTTGCTGTGGGTAAAAATGGTGGAGTAATAGATCATAGTTCTATGTAGTGAGCACCTGCTGTATACCACGCACTTTGCATACTGTGCACTCATTTTTCAGCCCTTCAGCTCTCCACAGGAAGATACTACAACCTTGTTGTTTCTGTTCAGTCACTATGTCGTGTCTGACTCTTTGTGACCATGTGAACTGAAGGACACCAGACTTCTCTGTCCTTTACCATTTCCAGGAGTTTGCTCAAACTCATGTCCATTGAGTCGGTGATGCCACCCAACCATTTCATCCTCTGTCATTCGCTACTCCTTTTTCCATCAATCTTTCCCAGCATCAGGGTCTTTTCTAGTGAGTTGGCTCTTTGCATCAGGTGGCCAAAGTATAGGTTGACTGTTTTGATCATCTTTCTGCCCAAAGGACTCTCAACAGTCAATTAACCAGAGATCACACAATTTATGGTTGGATCTGAGATTTGAATTCAGTTATTTTTGGCTCAAAGCCTTCATTCAACTTCTCCTTCCTCACCACCACCTCCTCCCCACCACCTCAAAATGTGCCACTTTGGAATTTCTATTATTTTGAGCTAAAGACACTTGAGAAGCAGCAGATGAGGAAAGATTCTCTGATCTCCCTTTTTCTACCTAAAAGCAGGTGATAAGATTTCCTATGAGAAAGGCGTCTTTGTTGTGCCAGGAAGAAGAATATTCTTATCATGCAGACTGGGAGTGGATGCCAAAATGGCCTTGTACAAACCAACCTATTAAAATAACCCTTATTGGGAATTCTCTTGTAGTTCTTGTGGTTCATGCTTTCACTTCCAGAGCGCCGGGTTCAACCCCTAGTCAGGGAACTAAAATCTCACAAGCCAAGCAGCGTGGCTTTAAAAAAAAAAAAACTTCTAAGAAAATGAAATAACCTTATATTCTGTTAGTTTTCCCTACATATTTCTTAGTCACTGTTCCACATTTTATGGCCCATAGCCCAAGCCCCTTTGTCTTGTCCCACCACACAATTTATGAATCTTTGTTTAAAATAGTCTGTAAGCTTTGGGGCCTAATGATTTCTTTGGGTCTTCATTTTCCTTTTGAAGCTCTAAGGTTTTCCTGTCATGGAGGAAATAAAAGCAATTCACATAACTTGCTAATGATTTTATGTGTTATCTGTCCAAGACTCACACTGGAGAGAATAATATTTAAGTGTGGGTCTCCAAGGGCAACATTTCAAAATATCTGGAGAGGAAGGATGTTTTAAGGCTGAGGTGAAACTTGGTCACACCTTTCAAGTCTCCCCACATGGGGACACCCTATTGCAAAACTGCAGGGTCAGGTTCACGGGAATCTGGGAGGACAGTGGCCTGCAGAGTCACACAGGGCACTGCTGACATGGCTGTGTCACTATGGGTGATCAGACTCCACCTAATCAACAACTGTCAGCAACCAAGAAGGCCTTATTGATTATCTCCATCCAGCATCTGTTTATTTTACAGAATGGAAAATTGAACCCTAAGAGGCTGTTACTGCCCTATTAATATCAGAGCTAGAACCGGGGAGAGGGCAAAAGTGGTGGAGGGTGGGGTGGAGGTGGTTAGGTACAGGGGGAAGGAGAGGAAACCAAGGCATGAAAAAGAGGCTTGCTGGACTCCAACTGGGTCCCACAGTTGATGCTTAAAAAATATCAATCCCATCAACTCTCCCCACACCCACTTTGCAATTAATCTGGCAACTCAGAAGGATAAGAATTGACCCAATAAATCAAACAAAGTCTATCTCAAAGACTTGGAACAGAATCACAAGGCAAGTACAAGTTTTCATTCTCAGGAAAGGTCATGGATATTTAAATCCCAAACCCACCACCTCTAAAATCCAAGCTTCATAGGTTTAACGTTTCATCTAGATTAGGAAAGATTTGCATCTTTTACAAGGAAAGTGAAGAGTTTTTGGAAATCCCTTTCTCTTAATTACATACTTCTGGTTAGCAAGCTCAAGCTTTGCTGTAGTGGTTTTCAAGCTGCAATTGCCTGGGTTTCCAAGGAATAGCTTCGAAAGTTTTAGAAAATACATGATTTGGTGATTACAGATTACTCACCTCAAGACAGAGAAGACCAATCACCAGGGATGCTAACATGATGGAAAAAGACCTGGGAACTGGTTGCCTTGCCTACTTATCATCAGTTCCTTGATCTCCTCCACCCAAGCCATGACCCAACTATTAGATTTTCATCTGAAGTAGGGTTCCACCACTCTAGAAAAAAGTCCATTGTATATCAAGTTATACAGAGAGTTCTGTAGCTTCCCCTAAAGTTACAGAAATCCCCCTGAGAGAAGTTTCAGTGTTGGGGAAGTTTCTGTTCAATGGACTGATCAGAACAGCAATCACAGTCATCACGGCTGTGAATACCCAATCTAAAACTGCTATGCATACTCACAGTAGCTAAGGCACTGAAGCAGCCTAAGTGTCCCTCAGCAGATGAGTGAATAAAGAAGATTTGCTGATAGACACAATGGAATATTACTGAGCCATGAAAAATAATGAAACAATGCCATTTGCAGCAACATGGACAGACCTAGAGATTATCATGAGTGAAATAAGCCAGCTAGAGAAAGATAAATATCATTTGATATCACTTATATGTGGTATCTAAAAAGGGATACAAACAAATTTATTTACAAACCAAAACAGACTTACAGACTTAGAAAACAATCATATTGTTACCAAAGGGGAGGGAGGAGAAGGATAAATTAGGAGTTGGGGATTAAAATATACATACTGATGTATGTAAATCTGGACTTCCCAGGTGGTGCTAGTGGCAAAGAACCTGCCTGTCGATGCACGAGATTTAAGAAACACAGGTTCTATTCGTGGGCCTGGAAGATTCCCGTGTGTGTGTATGTGTGTGTGTGTGTGTGTGTGTGTACACTCAGTTGTGTCCAGCTCCTTGCAACCTCTTGGACTGTAACCCTCCAGGCTCCTCTGTCCATGGAATCTTCCAGGCAAGACTACTACTCCCTGGAGGAAATCACAACCCACTCCAGTATTCTTGCCTGGAAAATTCCATGGACAGAGGAACCTGGCAGATTGCAGTCCATGGGGCCACAAAGAGTATGACACAACTTAACAACTGAGCACAGGCTAAATATATAAAATAGATAACTAACAAGGACCTACCATATAATACAAGGAGCTATACTCAATCTTGCAATACCCTATAATGGATGAGAAAGTTTTATAAAAAAAGAACAAATATGTATTTATATAACTGAATCACTTTGTTGTACACCTGAAACTAACTCAGCATTGTAAATCAACTATATTTCAATAAGAAAATTTAATTGCTATGCAAAACATGGACAATTGAGGCACAAGCATTTTATCAAAACAATGTTATTTTGTTAAAGAATGAAACTGATGCTGGTGTAAGCACTACAAAGTGCAAACTTCATGAGCTGAAGCTGAGGGAACCAGATTTAGATAAAGGATCTGCATTTCATTTTTAAAGCATTATCATTTTCCTGGGGAGTCATTGGCTAAGTTTCTTTCCTCCACAGAACAACGTAATGGTAGGTCCATATTATTACTGACTGGACTCCAAAAACACTTGTAATCCTCTTGGTTCTGCTTCTTCTATAGGATGTCAGGACCAGCTTTCTCACTGAAACAGAAAAGGCAAGAATGAACAAGACGTTTAAAAGATAAAAAGGTGTCTTATCTCTCTATCTTAAAAATCAACATATAGGAGCCTGAGTGTTCTACTCAGGCATTTCTCAACAGTGGGTTCCAATTTTTCGGGAGTTGGAGAAAGGTTTCAAGGGTTTGTTCAGATTGAATTCCAGGAATCAACACTGCCTGGAGGAACGCTAAGCATGGGGAGAAAAGGTGTCCATGAACACTGCGTGTGTTCAACCAGAAAGGCAAGCTACAAGACAAGAGAAATGTCTGCCTTTCCACTCAGCTCCACACCTTGTTGTCACAAAATTACTGCGTTGAGAAAATCGCTGGACTTGATTCCCCCCAAAACCTGACTTCTGCCTGGTCTTTTAAGTCTATGCTTATGAATTGGACATAGAGAGTTGACAGAATCTAAAAAGTCAGAAATGTTTGCCTGGACTGGAAAGAAATTTGAGGTAAACTTCCTAAAGTCTTCCCCCAGCACACCTGACCAAAGATAACAGAGGTATAGTTGTACCAAAGACCATTCCACCCTGGACACTCCCATGAAGAAAGACAACATCTTAGAATGTAGACAGAGCCAATGTCATCTGTGACATCTCTTACGGAGGATGTACTGTTTGTTACTAAGACATTAAAAGATGCCAAATTCTTCATACAAGACTCACTGAGAATACCTGCCATTCCATTTGAATATAGGGCCCTAGAATTAGACAATCTCTTCATATAGTTCTGAAATTGAAGCCATCTTCCTTTCAATTTTTTTATGAAAAATTTCTCTAGGTAATTTTTTTTCAATTCAACAGTCCCCATGATGTGACAGCATTCAACACTTTCCCTTGCCCCAGAAAGGAAAGTAAAGTTTGTCAACAAATACACTTAAACAAGTGACAAGTGTTATGAGAAAAGTAAAACTAGGATGTTAGAGGGGAGGTGGGGACAGAACTGCCGAGTAAACTTTTTAAGCCAGGTTGCTAAGTAAAATTCCTTTCCTAAAAGAATTCTCTTTTACCCATTGATATCAGTTACTAATAGAATTCCTGACTAAGATTCTAATTTCCTACATAAGCTCACTCCTTTAAACTTTCAGATTATAAGGCAGTACATCATTCAGTCTTTCAATAATTACTCAACGCCTACATGTGTGCAGTAATTCATTTTTTGATTTCTAAATCATGAATCAGTGGTTTAAATGAGCCTCAAGCTATCCAGCAAATTTCAATCCTTGAACAGAAATTTCAGAGTCTTTTGCTTGTTATTCTTTGCTTCACTCTCCGGAAAGAATTTGACAAGAGTCTGGGTGAGACATCTAAAAGAAATAAAAACCACCTCACCGATCCAGAGAAATTTTTACATCAGCATATCATATTATATCCAAATAGCCAATATGATAATTGCTCTCCAGATTTCATAGCATAATCAAAAAATAACAAGAAAAAAAAGTCCTTCCAAATATGATCTAGGTAAGATAACCAACAATGTTTATCTTCCCCTGAGCTATTGTGATGATTAATAAGATAATGTTCACAAAGGACTTTGAAGGAGTAATGTAATGTACTTTGAAGCATTATCTTTTTTTATTAATGAGTTTTTATTCTAACAGTTGCCAATTGCACTACAGCCATGGTAAACTCTTGCTTGTCTCCACAAGGAAAGAACACATGATCCAATAGAGAAAACAGTGTTCAGTGGCAGATACTATTTGCTCCAGGAGGAAGCCACGTCCTGCTAGAGACAGCAGTCACCAGGCAAAGGAGCTAGAAAACAATCAGGAGGGAGAGGGTAGGATGTTAGAATGGGACCAAAGCTATTATAGAAAGAAACACTCCAAATGTACATGGAGAAATTTTAAAGAGATAAATTAGAATTTCCACCCCAATGCAAAGTTAATTGTATTGCATTCATTCATTCACTTGTACTCATACCGACTATTAATTAACTATGCATCAGGCAATGTTCTAAGTGCTCAGAACGTAAAACAAATAAAACAGCCTCTGTTTTCAAGGGGCTTACTCTTTACTAGGGGACAGAGGCTCAGACAGTAGAGAAGCATGTAGAAAAATAGGAATTACTGAATTGTTGTAAACTATATGAAAGAAGGGCTTCCCTGGTGGCCCAGATGGTAAAGAATTTGCCTGCAATGTGGGAGACCTGGGTTTGATTCCTGGATTGGGAAGATCCTTGGAGGAGGGCATGGCAACCCACTCCAATATTCTTGCCTGGAGAATCCCCATGCACAGAGGAGCCTGGTAGTCTATAGTCCATAGCATCGCAAGGAGTAGGACATGATTGATCGACTAAGTACATATGAAAGAAATCCATACAGGGTAAAGGTGACACAGGAAGAAGAGCTGTTTTCAGGGAAGGGAAGTACTTAGAGAAACTCAAGAAAGATTGTGTATTAAAAGAAGAGAAAGCCCAAGGAAAGGCATTTCAGGCAGAAGGAGCATCATGGAACAAAGATAGCCTGTGAACAGCGCCCCCTAGAGTTGTAGCCATGACTACTCCAAACTCAATGATCGTAGAGGTTTAACAGGAGTATAAGGACCAGATTTAGGAACTAAAGATTTATCCTAATGGCAGTGAGAATCCTCTAAATTTTTTTTAAGCAGGTATAACATAGTCTTATTTGTGGTTTAAGGTGATTTCTCTAATATTGGCATGAAATGTAGATTGGAGTCAAGGCCTGAATGGAGAGCATGTTATCATTGTTCTTGTGAACAATTCCAAGGGACAGAGAGGAAGGGACAAATTTCCCTGCAAAAGAGGTAAGTCAGACTTGGATACTGATAACAGGATATGGGAAACTGGGGAGAAGGGGATATCATGAAAATCATTCCAAGCATCATGAGTTGGTGACAGAGTCAGTAACCAAGAGAAGAAAAGAGATGAAAAGAAAAGCCAGGGGCGCAAAACTCTTGTATCTCTTCTCTTCATTACTGGTCTCACCACTCATCCTGTCCCCAAGATACCTGTTGCTGTTGTCGTCATGCCCATCTCTTTTTCAACCCCATGGACTGCGGCCCACCAGGCTTCTCTGTGGGATCTTCCAGGCAAAAATACTGAAGTGGGTTGCCATTTCCTCCTTCAAGGGAACCTTCCTGACTCAGAGATCAAACTCCTGTCTCCTGCATTGCAAATGTGTTTTCTTTACCACTGAGCCAACGAAAATAGGCCCTCTCTCATGAGTCAGGAAAAGAAGAAATGCCAGAGGGTCAGGGGTTCCAGAAATAATTCTCTTTCCTAACTCTCTCTTGGCCACCTGATGTGAAGAACTGACTCATTGGACAAGACCCTGATGCTGGGAAAGATTGAAGGCAGAAGGGGAAGGGGATGACAGAGGATGAGATGGTTGGATGGCATCACCGACTGGATGGACATGAGTTTGAGTCAGCTCCAGGAGCTGGTGATGGACAGGGAAGCATGGCATGCTGCAGTCCATGGGGTCACAAAGAGTCTGACAAGACTGAGCGACTGAACTGAATTGAACTCTCTCTTGAGTTTATTGTTTCCTAGCTCTATCTGGGACATCCATTCAAAGGGTTAAAGTGATTAACTTGTTTTAGAGGGAGTTTTCAAACAATGCTTCTTGCACTCCCCTTTCAGATTCTTTAATGGCACCTAAATGAAAATAGAGGTTCAAATTAAGTTCAGAAAACTTTAAAGCACTTTTTAATGGTGAAACTTCAGCATTAAGGGTTTCTTTATTTCTTACTTTGTTTCATGTGTTAAATATTAACTTGAATTTTGTAAGAATTCAGTTTTAACAAGTAGTTTTATGCTTTCCAATTAAAAATGTGTCTACAGTAATAAATATCTCAAACATCCTCCAAATGACAAATCTATTTCCATGGCATAGACTTTAGAAAATGAAGAAATATCCTAATATAATTAGTGTACCGTAATTATATAAGTATTCCACTTTTAAACAAGTCAAATGTCCACATTAAAAAAAGTTTGTAAGCCAACAATCTGCAGTGTCATTATATAAGAATTCATCAAGACATTTCTATTTTTTAAAAATACCAGTTGTCAGAGAACTCACTCACAATGTGATTTGCTAAAATTTGATTTAGCATTTTCTGAAGTTAAAAAAAAAAGTGAGTAAACCATAGTAAACTCAAAACTGACAAATTCTATTGTGTTAAAAAATGATTTAAAATGTTTAGGAAAAATTATAAAGTTGTGTAAGAAGTGGGAGGCAAGTTGCAAAATACTGAAAGAGGTAAGCCAGGAAACTTCAAATAAAATAAAATATGTAGCGAAGATACTCTGTGAATACCCTGAATCCTCTGTAAGCATTAGCTTCTTACCTACCTTCCCTACTCATCCAGATATGCAAGTATGTTGACTTGTTAATGAGATAGAATAGATGATGACCATGCCCACAAGAGCCAACAGTCTTATTAATAGAACGCCATGGGCAACTGAGCTTTGCCTTAACTTTTCCTCATGTACAATTTTGCAGTAAGAGTAAAAAGATCAATGGTTTCAAGCCTGTGAAAAGAAAATTTTCTGCTTCTTGGAAAAAGAGAGAGGAATAGACAAGAGACAGAGTTAAAGATATCCTTACTCAGGTAGTGTTAAGAAAGTTTGAGAAACAGTGAATGCCTTTTCTCTAATAAGCTCTGTGTTTGTAATTAAAAATGCTAAACAACCAAAACAAAAACACCATATAACCTCTAAGCAAGAACAGCCTAGTAAGTTTCTGTCTTAGGAAAAAATTCAAGGCAATTGAAGGATATTTTCTATTTAGCTGCAGGTAAGGAGGAAGACATTAAATAGTCAGTGACAGTATTAGCTAAATTGGATAGCTTTTATATTTTCACATGTATACATAGACTCTCTTCAGCCTCATCAACATGCATTACTGAACTTCATGAACTGGCTTTGAAATGTTACTATAACATTTTGTTGCTCCAATTTCATAAACTTTCACAGGGCAATACATGTATTTTTTTTTTTTCAGAGACAAACCGAAGTTGCATTTCTCAAGATTTATACTGTTTGCTTTGGTAGCATTCAGTGGCAGATCTTTTATACACATTTGTAATAGATGAAAAATAAATAAGATTGCAAATCCTTTTTCCCTCTTTTTTAAAGCAAGCCTTGTGCCAAGTTTTCTGGTCCAAATTGTGTGGTTAAATTAAATTGAATTCTATTAACTGATATGAATATATTTCTGCAAGCACAGTTCAGTTCAGTCGCTCAGTAATGTTCAACTTTTTGCAACCCCGTGGACTGCAGCTTGCCAGGCTTCCCTGTCTATCACCAACTTCCCGAGCTTGTTCAAACTCATGTCCATCAAGTCAGCGATGACATCCAGCCATCTCATCCTTTGTCGTCCCCTTCTCCTCCCACCTTCAATCTTTCCCAGCACCAGGGTCTTTTCCAATGAGTCAGTTCTTCGCATCAGGTGGCCAAAGTACTGGAGTTTCATCTTCAGCATCAGGCCTTCCGATTAATATTCAGGACTGATTTCCTTTAGGATTGACAGGTTTGATCTCCTTGCAGTCCAAGGGACACACAAGAGTCTTCTCCAACACCACAGCTCAAAAGCATCAATTCCTCAGTGCTCAGCTTTCTTTATAGTCCAACTCTCACATTCATACACAACTGCTGGAAAAACCATAGCCTTGACTAGACGGATCTTTGTTGGCAAAGTAATGNTCTGGTTCCTCTGCCTTTTCTAAATCCAGCTTGAACATCTGGAAGTTCATGGTTCATGTCCTGTTGAAGCCTGACTTGGAGAATTTTGAGCATTACTTTGCTAGCATATGAGATGAGTACAATTGTGAGGTAGTTTGAACATTCTTTGGCATTGCCTTTCTTTGGGATTGGACTGAAAACTGGCCTTTTCTAGTCCTGTGGCCACTGCTGAGTTTTCCAAATTTGCTGGTATATTCAGTGCAGCACTTTCGCAGCATCATCTTTTAGGATTTGAAATAGCCTAACTGGAATTCCATCACCTCCACTCGCTTTGTTCGTAGCGATGCTTCCTAAGGCCCACTTGACTTCACATTCCAGAATGTCTGACTCTAGGTGAGTGATCACACCATCATGGTTATCTGGTTTAAGAAGATCTTTATTGTATAGTTCTTCTGTGTGTTCTTGCCACCTCTTCTTAATATCTTTTACTTCTGTTAGGGCCATACCTTTTCTGTCGTTAATTATGCCCATCTTTGCATGAAATATTCCCTTGGTATCTCTAATATTCTTGAAGAGGTCTCTAGTCTTTCCCATCCTATTGTTTTCCTCTATTTCTTTGCGTTGATCATGAGGAAATTATGTTGAAGCACAGTTATGTTGAAATTAAGTTTTAAAAAGAAAAAAAGCCAGTGACAAATGTCTCAATCCGTATCAACACTGGTATGTAAAGTACTGGTTCCATAAGCAGTCTCATGTCATTAGGAATGTACATGTAAACATCATTTCCCCTACTCCTTTGCTGCTGCATTAGTTTCTTGGGGCTTCGCTGGTGCCTCAGACAGTAAAGAATCTGCCTGCAACAGAGGAAACACAAGTTTGATCCCTGGGTTGGGAAGATTCCCCGGAGGAGGGCTTGGCAACCCATTCCAGTGTTCTTGCCTAGAGAATCCCATGGACACAGTGTTAGGGTTCACAAAGAGCTCAATGAGCACTGGTTTTTCTCTAAAGCCAGCCACTTCCTTTCTTTCTTCCTATAACAAATCTTTGTCTGCCTGAATGCCCAGCTCTCTCTTTTTTTCTTTGTGCTGGCCTTACACAGAGGAACCTGGCAGGCTATAGTCCATGGGGTCACAAAGAATTGGACTTGATGAGTGTTTTAGGGTTTCTATCACAAAGTACCACAAACTGAGTTGGTTTAACACCACAAAATTTGTTCTTTCATGGTTTGGGAGGTTAGAAGTCCAAAATCAAGGTGTCAGCAAGGCTATGTTCCAAGACTCTGGATAGAAACCTTCTTCGTCTCTTACTAGCTTGTAATGGTGATTATCAATCTTTGACTTTTTCTTCTTACACCTGAATCATTCCAGTCTCTACCTCTGTCTTAGCATGGCATTCTCCCTGTGTGTCTCTGGGTCCAATTTTACCTCTTCTTATAAGGATCAGGGTTCAACCTAATTCAGTAAGATTTTAAACTTCATTGCATCTGCAAAGACCCCGTTTCCAAATAAGGTGACATTCACAGGTACTAAAGGTTAGGACAACACACATTTTAGGGGGCCAAGGGGGAAACAATTCAGTTTATAACAGTTGCTATTGCTGTGATTTGTCCGATCCACCTCTTACAGTGAGTAGTAGTTCCCTTACAATATCTCAATCTGATGCCATGATTATCACGTATTCATATCTATCAATACAGTTTCATTTAGGTTTACAAGCTTCAGTCCAGATGCAACCCAAAGCTCACTTCTCTCACCTGGTCAGCATCTCTTCTGCAGTCTACGGGTGAAGAGTGTGATCTGCTTTCTCTCATACCTTCTCCCTTCCCCAGATCTTAACCCTCTGAAGTTGGATTAAAATGGAGGGAAAGGGAATGTCCACTGACCTTTCATATGACTGTATATGGCACCGTGATGGTCTTGGATGGTCAAACCTATGCATAGACTTTTCCCACAGGAGCTCCACGTGGGCTCCAGGGGGACATGACCTGGCCACTCTCCTGGATGGAGGATGGTCTCTCTTGAGATTAAGCTACTTCTTCTAGGTGATGCCAGGATGGCCGGAATATTCATCCTTCCAGATGGCCTGCCTCCTTGTTCAGTACAACCTGGAATTCGATTCTCATCAACCTGCTACAGC